GATTAGTTTGTAATGTCTTCAATAAATTGTGTAAACTTATTAATTTTAACAAGATCCTTTATGATGCCTCGGAATGACTTATCCATTTATCCATTCATCCAGTCAATGTTCCTTCAATGAAAGCAGCCTGTATGTTTCAATGAAAGAAACCCTTTCAAATGTGAGGAGCCTGGTTGTGGTGGTGATGGCAGCAGTTGTTAAATGGCTGGTAGATGAGGTGCTAACTATAAAATACCGTAAATCGGGAAGTTTTCATGTTAGAAATAATTGGCGTGATATTTTTTCAAGGTGTTTTATTTTCGCTGGTTGACCCATCCGCGAAATTTTTTCAACATGAAAATTTTTGGAAGCGTCATAAACCGCACAAGTGGCTACTAACTCTTGATGACGATGGACAGCTATTGAATGGAAGTTGCTCGTGACAGTACTAAAACTGACAAGGAACCTCTTGGGTGAGAGCTTCAGGCCTTCTTTGAGCTTTTAGAAAACTAAAAGAGCCTCGTGCATGCACCGCTGTACGTTAGAATAATTCCGGTAATCTTATTATTCACTGTAGAAAATATTTCGTGTGTCAAATTTTCGCGGGTTACTTCATCCGTGAAAATATTTCAACAACGAAAATTTCCCGATCTACGGTACTTCCATTTGTGTCATAGGCATACAGTTTTAGATTGTTTGAATCTTGATTAGAATCAAGTATTTTTTTGCTTGAGCAAAATTATTTAAAAAGTTTATACAACATTAGCTACCGAACCTAAACAAGCTATCATGCTGAGCACCCCAGGATCAATTATTGTAACTATTGATGAATAAGGACATAATAGAAATATATACATAATTAAGGAGAATTTTATGCTCCATTGCTACCTTTTAACAGCTAAGAGCATGACACGCGACATATGGCAACATTTTTAAAGCTTTGTATTTATGTTATTTATTTTAATTTTATTGTGTTGTAACATTTTTTGAATGCCGCTTCCACTTCATATGATACTGTATATAAAGAATGATCTTAGCTGATTTGATGTTTTGCAACTTTGGAGGAGACTTCTTATAAACCACTAGTTCAACACAAGAGAATGAATATGAACTGGCTCAATATGTTAAAGAAGGGATATAGCCACAACCTCATGTTATACCTGATACTAAATTGTCCCATCTGTCAGTGTGGAGTAAACCAGTTATTATACAAGCAGTTTTGATGTGTATCATACTGTTACTACTGGTTACTAATATTATCATTTCTGGCACTAGATCTAGCACCAACTCATGCTACAACAGCTTTCTGCAGGCAATGAACAATTATAGTTTGCAGCTGTGTCCTAATTTCACTCATTGGACTGAAGATGTTGTTACTGGTGTTTACCAGTCGCTTGATCCCAGGTTATCCTCATAATGTGATGATGATACACTAGTACTGAGTCTTATCACTCAACTGAACAACACAATACAAGATATAGCTAAAAAGCTGACTTTATTGGAAACTTTAACAAAGACAAAGAAACCTTCCATGAGAACAATATGTTACTTTTGAATAGAGTCATAGAGACAGTTAGTAGCTCAGTGGGAAAACTGAATAACATGTCTTACGTAATATTATGCATCCTAACCTAGTGAAATTTTGTGGTATTAATGAAGTGGATCCTATACAAGCCAATGAAAGGACAGTGTATATACTTGTCATAGTCAGAGAGTAAACTGTATAACAATGATGAGGTTACCAGTAGTCACTAGAGAATAAACCACTTATTCCTGTGTTATAGTCCAGTTTGCTTTTAATGTGGATCTATACGTATGTCATCACCACCTTATCATCTTTTTGTCCAATTAGTGCCTTCCTTTACCATTTTATTTAAGGGATGATTACACTAGATTGCACCAATTTTATAATTGAGAAGAGATTCAAGATTAAAGATAAATGCTCTTTGGGAATAATTTTTAGAATCTTTATCACAGTATATACTGTACTCACTTGTTCATTGTCTGAATCACTGAAAGCCACTTTCTTTTGTATGAGTGTTGAGGCTAAACAATTAAAATAATTTAGAAACTGTTCTCAAAGTGCTTAATAGCATAGACAAAAGGACAAAAAAACACTCTTAGTTTATTGTCCCTAGTCCTTTTACCTTTCGTTTCAGGACAAGCAGTGGGTATGGCCAGCAGACACTTAACGTATGGACTTATGAAACAAGTGCACCACATAAGATGATTAAATGAAATGTAACTTATATTTTGTATGTATATGGCGGTCTGTGTAGGAGCTATAGCACTCTAAAGTCGGAATATACATGTATGTTTCATCCAATATATGCTTCACTATCTCTTCTACAGATAAAGCCAATTGGCCTATCAGTATACTTACTTCAAGCTCTTGTTTGAAGCTCTTTTTATTTGTTCCTGAAGGCCCTTAATACTTGAATCAACTTTTTACTTCTTTCCAATGAATGCTGTGGTAAGATATATGTAACATCAGGGGATTTTAATTTAATATGACAGTTATTAGCTGCCGATCCTTTTAATGGTGTCTACTTTCTCAAACATTGCATTTTTCACTTTATAAAGAATAAACGGAATTTTGTCAATCTTAAGATTCATATCACTTTGAAGATACATTAATTTTAATGAGAATTAAGTACTATGATGAAATCCTCTTTATTAGATTTGTTTTACACCAGGTGTCAGCACTCTTTCCAGGCTGAACAGCCCTGCAGGTTGCTGCATGATTAATTTCATCATAAAAATGAATCGCTGTAAATTGTAATAATTGAATCATAATATAAAATTTACTGGATCATTTTGAATCACAAAAAATAAGTATCCTGCAACCAAGATAGTGAACAATAATATTTATTAACTATCTCCCACAATGCCCTAATTTTTTTCATTTCGTACATCTATAAATAAAAATCAGGTTTTGAATTGAGATAATATATTAAGTATTTGTCAGAAGGATACTCATCGCCTTTAATTACATGTTCCTCTGATGTGATACATTGATTACTTATCCAAGATGATAAAAAGTCATGATCGGTTGCTTTATGCAATGGCGCGAAGGGTTCAAGCACCCCTATGAAAGCGATTTTTACAAGATCTGGCTGATTTTTGCTGAGTTTCAATACCATTCATGTTAATCATCATTGCCTAATTTGTTATCTTCTATTGTGGGCATGAATTGTCATTGTGACCTTTAAATATTCCTTTTTGAATAGTTAAGTTCCAATACTTGCATACTAGAGCTTAATAAATGATGTCAATAAAATTACTGAGAATAATTAATGTATGCATTATATGAATCTGGATCATCTTGAGTGTTTAGTGCAATTTAAAAAGTTTTTTCTCAAATACTTAATAGTGAGTAATAACGACACTCAACAGTTAGTTTTATGCAGACTTCTGCCTCTTGCTGTTTGATCATTGATGCTGATTCAAACTTCATCTTGTGTTTAATGCACAATTCTCTTGACAATGTCACTATCCTGTGGTGCTGGTGATAAGTCCTGCACAACTGATATACTATGTGACCTAGGTCTACTTCTGCCACCAGCTTTACACTCAGGATTGTATGATATACTGCTACACTCTCTAAATTAATTTTACTCCTGTTCAAAATTGAAATGAAGAGGAGATTAATGGAGTGTCCACTATTTTCCCAAGCGACATATTAGCCTCCTTGATGTAATGCCATCAGCATTTGATGCTTTTATGAATTATAATTGGGCTTAGAGCTAGGAGATGGTGTTGTTACTTTTGGATTACAGAAGTTGGTGGAATTATTTGGGGATGAGCTACCTTTGATGCTGTCAACGAGTATTTTAAATTTCCCTTCTGTTCTCTTAAATGCAAAGAGACAAAGAAATGCACTAGAAATTCTGCTTTGAAGAAAAGGATTTTGAAGGCAATAAAAATTTTGAGGCACTTAATTTAACAAGGCAACGAGTTTAATGCAAAAAAGAGATTATATTTAAAAACAAAGCATTATTATTATAAAGCAACTGAATTCTTTTCCATGTGCCCTTTATCCATGCAAGTGTATTGCCCCTTTAATCATGCTTGCAGTCCTGTAGGCAAAAACACTCACAAGTTAACCACTACACGTATACATAAATTAATTAGTTCAACTGTCATCCATGCACCTATTACCCAAAAAACCTTTAACAGAATGTCTAAATGAGCCCCTGAGTTACCTTCTTGATAGTCTCGGTAAATGAAGTTATATCTTTCTGACCTCCTTTCCTGTCTCCCAGTGCTTGCTTCTTTATAGGCTAAACTACCCAAAGCTGTGTAGCCAGCGGTTAAAAATACACATCTTCTAATGTCTTCACTATTTTTACCCGACAGTTCAGACCTATCATCACTTGATGCTGATCAAAGTAATGCATGTGTGTGCATTGTAAAAATATGAATTATGGACTATATGTTCACGATTGGTAATAATGATTGATCTTTAAACAGTCAGACAATGAATCAGTAAATGACAATGTTTGTGTGCATTATAAAAATATGAATTATAGACTATAAGTGGTAAAACTTTAGATCAAAGGTGGAGAGATTCCCCTGATCAGAGTGGCAAAAAGGTTATCTACAAATATATGTGGGGAGACATCTTGTAGCAATTAAGCTGACAAACCCCAAACATCATATACACGTCAGACATAAGGGAATTAACTGTGCATTAGTTAATGTACACAATACTGTACTGAGTCTACATGGATATGATAGTACATGAGAGAAATAGTACTTCTTTCAAAACTTGTTTCTTAATCTATGATCAAAGTAAAAAGTTGTTAATTTTATTTAATAAATATAATAGTACAAATGGACCTGCTTTAAATTCTTTCAAAACTTTATCTACAATGATTACTGTGTCGTTTTCACAAGATACCTGTCAGATGTGAAGGGGACTTGGCTAAAGGTATTTATACTTTTTTAATGATGGTGACCTGGTCTCTCTAAGTTATTAAATGAGTGTCCTTCTGTTAGTTGTTAATTTCATTGTTTAGTTTATTCATTTTCTCAAGTACTTCTTCCAAAAACATTTTTCATGTTTGTAGTTTTTTTACTGGTTGTTTACTTTTTTCTAGAGTTGGCAACAACGACTATACATCCACTGGCTTGGTAGTTTGTAGTTGGAAAAATTGCTCTGCCTAGCAGCTTCTTCTTTATTGTCTAAAGGCCTTTGTACAATAGGCAACTTGTTGCTTTGCAAGCAGTTTTATTTTGGCCATACATTACTTGGTTGCAAGCGGCAAGCTGCCTCCTGTATAAAGAGCAGCCATGTTCTCATTGTGACTGGTTGAGAGGATGAGCATTTAATGCCTAGTTGTTCTTTGTATTGCTTCGTAAAAGAATAAAGCATTGCCTTTGTCAAAGAAACTTGCCATTTTTGCTTGACTTTTTGTTTTAAACTTGCTCAGATGAAGAACTAATATTAGGAGTCTTTCTGATTATAGCTCATGAATGGCCTATAATTATTGAATGTAATACATTAGTAGGTAAGCTGCTTCCTGTATTCTCTCCTTACCCTCTTCATTTCTATTTTATAAATAAATATTCCAACTGGTTACTCCTGAAGATATGTTTTGCCCCCACTTTGCTTCCATGCAACAGTACTGATAAGCTATAACTCGTGAAATAACAAATCAAATTCATCAGGCACGCAATTGCGCATGTCCACTTGCTTGTACCCACACTACTTGCATGCTGAATTAATATCAAAGTAACAAATTTACATTGTCATTATCAAGATAAAGTTCTTTCAGTCACATACTTTTTTACTTTCTAATACAGCCATGTTGACAAGAACCTCTGAGTCACATACTCATCTTTGTTCATTTAGCATTTGCTCTTCCTGTCTATTAATCTTTTGTTTACTTCAAAGGCTCCCTGTAACTCATGTTCCTTTACCACAATAAGGCCTTTGTCTTTAAGCTCCAAAAAAGGGGGATTGTTTTTGTTTTTGTGGCTATAGAGTTGCTGTCATTGTCTGTTGGAGATTGACAAGAACTTAGCATAGTTGTAGAGGCTCAAGTTGTAGTCATTATTTACAGCTCTTCTATAGTAAACATATTTCACGTGAGCATGCATGCTACTGTACACTTACTTTATTAAATGCATACATGTATATTTAGACATATCAAAACATAATATTGACACGTAATATAAAAATATGACACCTTTGATGGGTACATTACAAAATGTACTTCTCTCTACTTGCCCCATTCAATATCTTTCCAATCACAAGTCTTGATGGTAGGAAGAAGAAAAGGATCACCATGAACATTAATGTTATCACTGTAACAATGATTACAATGAAGTCCTTCATTCTTTCAGTTTTTTCTTCTCAGTGTAACAATTGCTACAATGAAACTAGTCCTTCATTCTTTCAGTTTTTTCTTCTATTTCTTTTTTTTAAATGACACACAAACCTTGTTCTTATAAAAACGTGTACAATGTAATATTAAGTGACATTTTTTTATGAAAGTCTCATCCTTCAATCAATCCATTTGCCAACTAATATTTTGTTTACTCAATCTGCCTTCTTGTGTTCATTAATGACCTGTCATTGTGTTCTGATAAAAATTTATCAATAACCACTAACCACTCTTATTTTTATCTAAATATCTTAATTACTTAATTATCCTTCCCATTCATTGAGGAGTAGAAAAAGTTTGAACACAAAGAAGTAGCACAAGAACAAGCTCTAAATCTTTTATGCACATTTTTGATTTTGTTGTGTGATCTAAATGTTGGCAAGTATTTTTATGGCCCTTGAATTTTTAGTTGGAAATTGCTTATGGTTGATGGTGGTGCATAAGCAAATTGATGAAGCTTTTCACTAGCTCAGTTCCTTAATGCATTTATATTTTTTACTATTCCTTTGTCTACAATTTTATGAGAAAATTTTCATTTTTTGGAATAATTAGACCTTGTGTACCCTGATAAACTTCTCTTACACATAAATCTTTATTAGTGTACCCTGATTTGTCATGACCTACATGAACTCATTTGTCCTCATAATAGCAGTAGTTTTTTCCTAAGCCTTTGTCCTCATACCGTAATAAATGCTCTTATGGACAACACTGAGTGTATTAAAAGGACCTGGACATGCTTATGTTTTGTTAATAGCTGGATACTTAATTAAGAGTCATTAATGGAATTAATTTTCTGTAGGCTCAACCTCACTAAATTTATTAAAATCAAAGAATTATAAAACATTTTCTATCATTTCGGACTAAAATTTTAGCAAAAAACTTAGGCAGCAAAATAAATGTGATATAGCTGACAATAGTCACACTTAAAACTGTGACTCCATCCACTTACCAGAAATTACATATACATTAGACACAGAGCTGTCATTATCTTCTTCTGCAGTATTAAATGCCTCATAAGCTTTGAATTAGATTTGCAGTCTATTAGGTGTGGCCAGTTATTGATTTTATGTGGCTACATAACCATGTGCCATAACATATAAGTACTGAAGAATTAATTTTTAAAATTTAAAATTAAATTTATTACCTGAAATAATTGAGTCTTGAATCAATCTTCATTAATCAAAGCGGAGAAGCTGCAATTTTCAATTGCTAGCCATGGATTTTACAGAGTGATCTTGTGCAATTTCAGAAATCTGAGAGCAAGTGAGAGAAAAGGAGATGGTATTAACAAAATTTCACATGTAAACCATGTTGTGCATCAATGACAGTAGTATAACTTATGCATGATGTACTTCTTTCAAATCTTCTTTCATAATCAATGATTAAAGTAAAAAGTTATTAATTTTATTCAATAAAAACAATAGTACAAATGGACCTACTTTGAATTCTTTCAAAACTTCATCTAGTTTTTTGTTTACTGTGTCTCTTCTAGGGGTTCTTATAAGCTTTTCTGTGAGCTTTTCTATTAATTCCTTTTGACCAGTACATCTAAAAAGATAATACAAGAGATGATAGGAGAGAGTAAAGAGAGAGATGATGCAGCATGCAGGAGAGAGGCATTAATTCAATTTTGAGAAAATGTTCATTTTCGGAATAAATAGACCTGATTGTGCCCTGAATATCTAAAGGGACCAGTTTGGGTTTTTCTTGAAATCTTAGTGGGATTAGTTCAGTATGATTTTCCATGCTATGTGATACACTTCTGTTAGTTACTATTATTGTATATATCCTGATTTATCATGACCTACATAAAGTCATTTGACCTCACAGCAGCAGTAATTTTTCCTAAGCCTTTGTCCTCATACCATAATAAATGCTCTTATAGACAACACTTAGTGTATTAAAAGGACCTGGACATGCTAATGAATGAATTTTCTGTAGGCTCAACGTCACTAAATTTATTAATATCAAACAATTATGAAACTGTATTATTTTATTTTAACTAAAATTATGCAAAAACTGGAGGCCGCAAAATATATCAGATATAGCTGACAATAGTAACACTTGAAACTGTGACTCCATCCACCTACCAGAAAATTACATATTAATTAGATATAGAGTTATCATTATCTTCTTCTGCAGCATAAAAACCCTCTTCATCTTTGGGTACTACTTCTTCATCTCCTAGTATTCAAGACAGATATCTTACCATACAACTGGGCCATTACCAATCATTATAAGCGCGCAATAGAAACTCACCAATCTCAATAATCTTAGCAGAATAAAAATTTTATCTTGATTTCACTTTGTAGACCTCTGCTACAACTACCTCAGAGTCATTAATGATGGAGCTTCTCTTCACTATGGCCACAGAATTGTCCTCATCAAAATGATCAAGTATTAGTTGAGCTATACGCAAGATATTTATGTCACCGTCCAAAATTTAAAAATTAAGTTACTCACGTTTGTCTTTAGTCTTATTCAACAAGTATCTTAACATAGTGAATCAGTTCTGTTCTTTTCTTTGTCCTTTTAAGTTTTTCTCTGCTGTAGCACCTATAACACGTAGACGGTTCCGTAATCACCAAAAACCATGCATGTTTTGTTAAATATGACGACTTTTGTTTGTGGAAAGCCTGTACTTCATCTTGGTATATCATCTCCCATAAAACATTTCTCAAAAGAATATTGTTTATGTGCACAGTCTGCGTTCCTTGTAACAATGCATCTTAAATTTATTTCCAGAGCGTATCGTAATCGTTTGTTATTGTAAAAACATCAACTTTTTTGTCTTCTACTGTATTAGTCAGTGGATCTGTGCATGCACAGTGTATGCTTTAGAAGTAGACAAAAATCCAGAAAAAGGTATACCATTATTGAATTACTTTACAAGGCATGGCTTCACCTAATCTCATCTTGTGTGGTGCTTGAAGAGAATGGACAAGGTTATGCCTCATTCAACTAAGTGTACTGCACATATAGCTGCTACACCTCTTTTCTGTTCCATTGTCCCTTCCAGGAGCTCATTTTGCTTACTGCTCATGCACTGGTGCACTAAAATGAATGGACAACAACCATGCATGCACGTCACCGATGGACAACCGACTTCAAAGGAGGTGTACAGTTACCATACATTACTATTATTAATTTAGCTGTAACCACTTAGCATGTGTGACATCGTTAGTCCAGCTCTAATAGATATTATATGAGAGAGAGACCAAAGTTAATGGTATACAACCAGAAAAAGTCATGCTCTCTCTTCTTATACTAGCTATTGCCTGTCTCCCTCAGTTTATCAGTAGTTCTAATCTTGCTCTTACATTTGATGCTGCTAACAGTATACCTGTACTGCAGCCTGTACTACCTGCAGTGATACCAGTAATACTGTTAATACCTCTGACAAGAGTGATGGACTTTTGAATGAACTACTTAACACTACTAGGAACAATAGTCAAGATATTCAAGAAATAAAACAGAAAATAGATGGTATCATTTCTTCTCTCTCTCATATCAAAGAGACTGCTACCTCTAATGCTGGAGCTATCAATGATATACTGCTACTAGTGGAAGACCTTATCATGTTACACAATGACTCATCTTCCTTCTCCTATCCCTACTTCTTGTCAAGAGATTAAGAACAAACAACCAAACAGTCCTTCAGGTGTATATCTACTGGCAACTGCTACTAATGGAACCCAATATGTTTACTGTAATATGGATTTGGCTGTGTGGGATGGACAAGACTAGCATATCTGGATATGACTGATGCTACAGTGAATTGTCCTTCTGGGTTTAGACTGTACCAGTCAGGAGGAGTTAGAGCTTGTGGTAGACCTGTAACGAGCAGTGGTAGCTGTGTATCAGTTCAGTTTCGATCTAATGGTATCAGTTACTCTCAAGTATGTGGTAGAGTTGTGGGATATCAATGGGGGTCACCTGATGCAGCTAATGCTTGTAAGTCACAATGATATTAATTCTTATCATGCTGATGAAGTTAGTGTCACTCATAGATCTCCTCGTCAACATGGCTGGTCATTATGAAGCTATTTATCATTATGTCTTTGTTTATGTAGATCTTAATGGCACATTCTACTTGTATACCTTTTTTGAATATAATTATGTAGATTCAGTTTATGCATTCATGCAGTTTTTGCTATGACAAAAGCATTGGGTTTTGGTTGTTGTGATTTTGAAGTACTTTTCAATGATCATAATGCTAGCAGTTGGCCCATCACACTGACACGATGTTATTATGTATCCCATTGTCTGCACTATGACATTTTTATTTGACGTCTCTTTATTTGATTCCATTATTGCTACATATTTTTCAGTGCAATGAAATATACTGAATCGTCACCTTTGCTTCCCTTTGTACCTTGTTGGTCTACATTTGATGTTGCTATATTTCAGATGTGCTATTGTTTAATCCAGTTATAAGCTTGTTTACCGCACTTTTAACTTTGATCCAGTTTTACAACTTTAATGTTTTTTGTTTCCATTATTACCACATATCTTTCAGTACAATTGAATATGCAAAATTGTCACTTTTCCTTCTTTCTCTAACACTGCATTTTTACTTTTTCAATATTACCTATCGACTGTAATAAGCACTTATACGTCATGAAACTCAAGTGAGATGGAAATCTTAAGTGCAATAATCAAATAATCAATTAACAAATAAATAATTCAATTAAATCTGTTGCTTGATGTTACCTCTAATGCATAGTAACTTGGGTCATTGCATGAAAGAGTCAGGGAATAAGGTTCTCCTGTGTATTATTAACATTACTATCCTCTTGAGAATAATTGTCGATAATTATTCATAGCATAAAAATGCATGTATGCATTTGTACATATATGTGGATTTTATGTATATTTGTCTCACCTTTGTTCAAATAAGTGATTGTGTTTGTATCATCTTTAGGAGCAGGGGCTGTTTCAGCTGATAGCTCACATTTTATACTAAACGATAATAAGAAACAATGAGATATTTAAAAAAAATAGTCACCTTTGCTTTCCTTTGTAATATGTTGGTTTACTTTTGTTGCTGCACTTTTTGTACGCTAACTTTTTCAGGTTTCTTGTATTAGAGGAGCTTCTAAATACCATGTATTATTCAAATATCACACCATTAGCTTTCAACATTATACTTTGACACACATAGAGGTATTATTATCTAGAACATATCCAAGAGAAAAATTTTGGATATTTATTTGGTGTCTGTGTCTGGGATGTTGTTAGGCCATGCCCAATGGCACACCTTCCCACCATTACTAGTAGGCAGGGGCAAAGGCACCCCTTACCATTGGCATAGATAATTATCAATAATTGGTCCAAAGGGGATTCTGCAAGATGTCTGTGATTTCCTTACCTAAGATTTCAAGTTAGTGAGGTAAGTGGTTATAATCACAGGTTTAGGTGAGGTTAACTTGCCTTCCTTTATAAAGAGTTCTCTCAGCACTAGGGTTGCTCTAACTGGCATTTCTCATGCTTGCAGTATCTATTATTGTATTTTTACAGGGCTTCTTTACAGAGGATAAGGAGGGGTTTTTCTGGGCTTGAAGGTTTAGGAGCTCCCCTTCCCCCCAAGTATTATATCCAGTTTTTGGTTGGAGTCCTAACATTAGGAACAACAATTGAAGGATCAACTAGAGTATCTGGCACTCCCAGAATACGGACTCAATGGACACGGAAAGTATATGGAATTGAGTGGGCGGGATGTACTGAGTGGGTTTGGTCATGAAATAATCAGAATTAAATAGTTTTTAAGCCTGTTGCTCTCAATGTGGAAGGCTCAGTTCAAGTCCTGACCTAGGTGTTCTAAGTCATAATTTTTTGTGGTGTGACCACATCTGCATTTTGCTCAACATTACCTTTGGTAAGGCAGACTATCATTACGTTAGTGACATCTCAGCATTTATAATAATTGAATAAATTTAAATCATGCTAACAATAACCATTAAAATCTATAGGAAATCAATTCAATCTTTGCGTGTACATGTGTGTTACAATACTTACAAGAAATTCCATTATCTAACTCCTAATAATTCAATATTTCATGCATCAGTGTTCTGTGAAATCATTAAGTCATACTGGATACTGTTTGAGATGTGAAGCATTATATTGTCCCATGTTTTTCTTTCGGTTTTTCCAAACTTCTCTCGCCACAAATTAGTCCAAATAGCTATGTATCTGGTAGGAGTGACATCCTCTCATCCATTTTAACTTGACTTTAGTTCTATTCCAATGTGACTCAATATTTGTGTATGCTCACTGTCTTCTGTTACTTTAATATCTTCATCTTCAACCCCCTTCAAACTGCTGATTTTACATGGAGGTTGACTGATGTTTCTATTTGCATCTTTTGATTACTTTATAATGTCTTCCATAAATGTTGTAAACAACAATTGATTTTAACAAGATTGTTTATGATGCCACAAAACAACTTGGATTTCAACATAGTACTGATCAGAGTCCACTCTAAGCTATTGGAGGACCCATTCTGAACTTCCCACAGGCTGTGATGCTCCGCAAGCCAGGCAAGAGTGAGAGAATTTGCATGCCTCCTGGGATAGCCTGCATTCTCCTTTGTTAAAATGCCTGCAGGCTTCTTGAGTTCTGGCCTTTTTTGCAAGGCTATCTGCAGGTTGAGTAGAGCTCCCTGCTCTAGCCAGACCAGCCTGGAGAGCGCAGGAGCTCAGGACATGGTCTACCCCATTACAAAGTTGGCATGACACTTTGGCATTGCCACCAGAGAACACTGTGGAGGCAAGGAGGGAGGGGGAGAGCTCGTACTAGGGCAGTTGCGAGCCTGCAGCTCTCTGTTGTCTAAATAGTCAGTCATAAGACTACCAGCCCCTCCCTTCATGTCTTTGAGCTAGGTGGATTATTGTTTGGCCATAAGCAACGAGCTCCTTCGCTGTCCTGTCTGGGGTCATCTGTCCATCTGTCCATTCATTCAGTTATGTTCCTTCCATGCAAGCAGTCTTGTATGTATCTAAGTAAAAAACCCTTTAAAATGTTAGGTGTTTTTTATTGTCTTGTTCCTCACTGTTTTGTCTCTGTAGATCTGCAACATAAGCCATTTCAAATAGCCAATTCATAAATTTAGCTTTATGACAATGTTTGCTGTTTTCTGAATTAGTTGTTCTGCGGCAATCTAAACTTTAGGTGGTGTTTTGTTGACAACTTTTGGCATCTTAAGTGCTTCAATATATTCAATCCATAAATTGGAAGTATAAGCTGTTGCTGAGCTGTTTTTTATAAGTGTTTTAGATTTGCCTATTGCACTAAGACATTCTACTTTGAAGATAAAGGAATTTCAAGGCAAATAAAATTTTCTGGCAAATGACCTTAAAAAAACAAGAAGTTTAGTAAAATTGATTTTTAAAAGGCAATTTTTGAAGTAATTAAAATTGGCAATCATTTATTCATCTGTCCATCTATCCATTTAGCTAGCTAATAATAGTAGCCCTGTATGTATGTATCTATGCAAGAAACCCTCAACAGTACAGTAATGAAACTCAGTTCTTCATGTATTTTTGATAACACAATCTCTTAATAAAGTTGGATACCATAAGCTAATGCACTTTAATAAATGAATCATTAATGGAATTTAGTGCTGTTAGCATGGGCGTAGGCAGACTAGGAAAGAAGGTCGAGCAAGGAGAAAATGGTGGGCGCGTGAAGCGTGCCAAAATTTTGGCCACACCCTTTTTTCCGCCCGAAATATGGAGATTTCTCACTATCTAACATGCATCATGCATGCAATTATTATTGTTTTATCGTAATCAGGTAGAAGAAATTTTTCGTGATATGGTGGCTTTGAAAAAGCTAGTTAACAAAAAATAAGGGGGAAAATCGACTCTGAGGATGTGGAAAATGATCACTGGAGTTCTTGTGAGAGACAGCACACTTGATGACTACCTTGTTTAAGCAGTCTCAGAGCTTGGAAGACAAATCTCTTTCTATATGTAAATGATATAGGTGCAAACAGTATGGAAGATTGACGTTTGCCAGCCATTTCAATAATTAACTTGGGCGTCACTAATATTTAACTTGATATCATAATTCATAACTTAAATAAAATGGCTGCTGCTAGAGCTCTGGCTCTCTCAGTTTCTTCCTCACTCCTCAGGCTAAGTGACACTCACAGACTGACAGTATAGTTCCAGTGTCCAATTACACCTGTGTAATGATAGTCTGACAGTCTTACACACAGTGACACACTCAGTCTTGTCTTGCCCAACCACCTTGCCCAAGCTTCTGCCCTTGCCCACAGGTCAGCTCACAGAGTCAGGTCGGGCATTGCCCCTATATGCCCGACCCTGCCTACGCCTATGGCTGTTAGGCCTAAGTTTTATATCTCAATTCCTTTAAAACACTTCTGAAAAATGGCAGCATTCATGTCCAAAGCATTTTAGGACTATCTTTCTAGAGACTTATTACTTTTGCAACTGCATTGTATGCAGTGATGCATCATCCTACAATTACCGGTATTCGCAATTTACCTTGTCAGTGACTTAAGTTTGATCTAGTTTAAGATTCCTTTGATTTTACAGAAGACCTTTTACTGTACTCCCAAGGTATGGCAAATTACTATATCGTAATGGTATATGTCCTTTGACTTTCTGTCCTTTTTAAAAACCACTTCAACTTGTACCACGTGACAATGGTTCACAGGTCACTGTTAGAAATATCTAGATGCTTTTCTTTTGAGCTTGTCAGTTCTATTTGTTGACAGGCAAAGTGCCTCTGGTTAATTTTGCTGCAATAATTTTTCACTGTCTTCTGTTATATTAATATCTTTCTCTTCAACCTCCTTCAAACTGCAGATTTTACTTGATTGATGCATGTTTTGATTACTTGGAATGTCTTCAATAAATTGAGTAAAAAACAATTGATAACATGATCCTTTCTGATGCCATGGAACAACTTATCCATCTGTACATTTAGCCAATTATTATTCGTTCAATGTGCAGGCCTCTATGATTTTATGCAAGGAATCCTCAAAAGTGTGAAGAGTTTCTTACTGTTTTGTTTTTATCAATGTGCAATATGAGGCATTTTAAAAAGCCTATTTTTGCCAATTATTATTTCATGCCATTCTCAACAATAATAGATTAACAATTTTAGCCTTTTCTAGTCTTGTAAAAATACAAATGCATTGCAACTGATGATTGCTATGATAGCTTACTTATATCTTCATGAAACTTGCAATAGACTGCCATTCGGCCACAATGTTTTACTGTGTACAGATCAATTAATAGCAAGTTGTTGAGCAAGTGATATAAATCTTGTGTTACCATACAGTACGTCTCTTTTTACTTGAGGAACAAATACCCTATTGAAAAAGGTTTCCTTGAATGTATAGTACAAAATGTTTGTTTATGTTGGTTGTTGACTTTGGAGTACAAGCTGTGTCTGCAAAGGGCAGCACATAATGTATAGTGACTCTAAAGCCTCATGTTATGATTATTCTTTATTGTTATCCAAGCTTTGTAAAGCTGAATCAATTTACATCTTTTCCTGTTTCAAAGCTCTTTAATTGGCCAAGAGTTAAGTGTGTTGTGTGTGACGGCAAATTGAATATAAGATTGTTTTCCCTTTGCTGCCATTCTGATTGTTTTCGTACAGTAGTGGCTAGAATGCCCTTCTATAAGCGACATGAGTGGCCAAACAAGAGGCACGTATTATTTGTTTAATCATGTATTTAAAAACTCACACTCCATCAATGTTTTGTAACTCAGGGACTGATAAATCTTTAAAAGTAGAGAGAAATACAAAACTTGGAAAGTGTCTATTTAATCCCTCCAATTTTGCAGTATAAAGTAGCCACACAAAACAAATCAGATATTACCGGCATCAATTACCTAATTAAGTTTACCACCATTGAAAGGCTGAATTTAATTTTTTATCCTCAGTTGTCAGTCCAACCTTTATTGTTCAGTCCATTATTTGTTCAAGGTTTTTCCCATTGGACATCTTGCCTTGCTGTCAAATGTTACCATTTTCTGAGATGCAGTTGCCAGAAGTACTGACATAGGCAACAATTGAGATTTATCACCTGACATAATTCTGAATTAATTTTTGTACCACCCTTGTGAATAGTTTTTGGAAATATTTTTATTGTCTGAGGCTAACACAATAGTGAAATGAGAATTAAGAGAGTAATAATGAAAAAATGAAAAAATAAATATGTTTGATAGAATTATTTAGGATAGAGTGAAGTGAGCATCGGAGATGGCTCTACAGAAAGTCATTCAAATCAAACAATTTTATTTTAGAGCTGGACCCATGTAAGCATTTTATTGCTGACTTGAATATTACAAATGAATACCGCCATTAAATTAAATTGATGGTAGCGCTATAAGGTCTCTGGAATTTCTCCTAATGTAACATTGCAAGGCACTTAATAAACAGTGTCACTAATGTCTTTCCTTGGAAAGTTTTTTCCAAATCAGTCATAAACCCTTGAGGAACAACCTCTATGTTGTAATTCCATTTACATAAAAGGAAAAATAACAAGCAGTGTATCTAGCTAATTCATTAATTGACACTGGTGGACTCAGCATAAGACTTCATTACAGATATTAAATCCATCTAGGTGACAATCAACACATAACTATTTATGCTGCATTATAAACCTGAGTTTATAGTGTTGATACAGGACCAAATTCCCAAGAAGTGGAGAAGATCAACGGTGAAAACATCCATGCTCTACCTTTCTAATTCTCTGCTCATACTTTCTTTTCTTGAAGGACTCGTATGGCATTATTCATATAGATTGCCTAAGAGATTTGGACTGATAGTATTGAAGTCAATACTGACATCAAAAAATCCTTTGATACCTATTACCCAAAAGAACTTTTAACAGAATGTCTTAACGAGCCCCGGAGATACCTTCTCTACAGTGTCGGCAAATAAAATTATGCTTCTTCCCTGTGTACTAGTGGTTGCTCCTTTATAGGCTAAGCTACCCAAAGCTGTATAGCCAGCGGTTAAAAATACATTTTATTGTCTTCACTATGTTTACCCGACTGTCCAGACCTATCATCAGTGCATGCTGTTCAAAGTAATGGTGTGTGTGCATTGTAAAACTACAAATTATGGACTCTATGTTCACTAGTGGTAATTGTGATTGATCTCTAAACAGTCAGACAGTTTGTTCTTTAATCTTTAAACAGTCTGATAATGACATAATGCATGTGTATGCATTATAAAAGTATAAATTTATGTACTATTATGTTCACTCATGGTAATAATGATGTTTAGATCAAAGCTGGAGAGATTCCCCTGATAAGGGTTACAAAAAGGTTTTCTACAACATCCAGCAGACATCCTATAGCAGCAATTAAGCTCACAAATCCCAAACATCATACATGTCACACATATAAGAATTAACTATGCATTAATTAATGATACATAATACTGTACTGAGTCTACATGTATGTGATAGTACATGAGAGAAATAGTGACTATATATATATATATATATAAAGTCTATGAGTCTCTTTGGTCTTTGTTCCCTCCTTTATTTCCCATGCCTCCTTTCACAGTGCAAAAGTGTGGGTGTTTGCCTCCACACTCCATAAATGGTGCCAGAACTGGCAGTTCCCTCTCCTGTCACACATTTTCTTTTTGTTGAACTGAAAGCAATAGCTGCAATTTGTCACAGGCCCGGCCCCTCATGCTGTCGTAACCTTTTCTTGGCACTGGGCTCTCCTTGCTTCAGGCACTCGCATGTTTGGCCAATGGCCAAATTTTGCCAAAAATGAAAAGGAGGAAATTCTTCACTTTTATGCATACTTGTACTTATGTTGTGCAGAAAGTTTCAGCTGATCCTTATCAACTTTTGGATTTTGACATAAATTTTAAGTTTTAAAAAAGTTGGGTCAAAGTCCCTGTACTATTTATTATGGTACAGGGCGATTAGCCAAATTTTGCGAAAATGAAAAAGAAAACAATTCTCCTTTTTGTAATTTTTCTGGATACATATACTTGTTCTTATGTTGTGTAGAAAGGTCAGGTTCATTGCAATAAAAATTGGATTTATTATGAATTTTTAAAATTGTTCCAAAATTGGACAACAGTTTTGTGGATATTTTGTCAAATGTAGCATTAAGAAAATCCTCCATTTTTTAGTACATAAAGCTAATGTACCGTATAGCGGGTAATTTTGGAGGGACTAAAATTTGGTGATTTGCTAAATTTTGGTGATTGGTGGATTTTTAATTTGGTGAATTTGTGGACTAGCCACGTGGTGTATAATGGCTCAAAATGGTGGATTTTTAATTTGGCGAATGGCTATCAAAACGCCAAATTCGCCAAATTTAATCTCCAAACGTTCCCACTATACAATATTCTTTTCTCTCATTCTTCCCCTCATAGATAATGAATTCATTACTGATGAGTATTTGAGGGGGTACATGGTTTCCTGGTGATGTTGCTGTTGATGTCTGTTTTATTTGAATTAACTGACGATAAGTCATTATACCTAGCACCTAATGAACCATACACACATACATCGATCAAGGTATTTAATAACAATGTAATGGTAAATTAATTATAATTGTCTATTATGTAATTTTTGAGTGCTTAATTTTGACTAACTGTCAAATGCCATATCAAACCATTTTCAGTGATTTGCAGTATGTACATGCTCAAATACAAATACTATATACCGTAATTTGCCAATTTTTTACAATTTTGCAAATTCTGGATTCTGGAACAGAATTGCCCACTGTCATAATACTGTCCTCCCTCTACTTTTTTATTCTTCTGTCCCACTTTATCTTTTTCCCTTCTTTCTCTCTCTCTTCTCCCCTTACAGATGTCATAGAGTGTAGGTTTTGTGGTGATAATGTAATTAAAGCTGGCCTTACTCCAAAGTTGAATAATATAAAATGCTTTAAATAACATATTGAAAGAGACCTCCTTGTCAATTTGTGCTAATCCAATATCAGATGGTGATGCTTATATCACTGATTTTGATATTGATGCTGATTTATGTGTCAATGAAAACTACATTAAAGCGGAGGCTTTAACAACTGCTGACAGGTCAAGCTATGTCAAAATAATAACAAAACAATATTATCATCATCATCATTGCCTTTCATTACCACTAATATTAGGAGGAAAGACACTTGACCCTGTCTATTATTTTTTAAAATACTCTAATCCAGTTATTGGTACCAAGATGATGTTGACCAATGCACCAGTGAAGACAATAGGAAGGAGAACTTGATTAGTAGCAGGGCCTATTGAAGATGAAGGGTTGGTTGCTGATAGGGAAAAAAGAAGATTGTGTCGGTTAAGAATGAAATGAAGTATAACTGTATGTATGGTACTGATCCAGGTTTATGTTTGGACACTATAGATCTGTATGAAGAAGAAATTTTCTTGTTTCTATAATAGGCTACTTAATTGTGTTAAGTACAGGTATGAGATTAACTAATTTTTTGTCATGTATATTATGTATGAAGTTGTGACTGAATGGCAACAACTGAACAAAGAGCAGCTTACTTTTATTATCTTCTCTTTTCTTAGTCGCCAATTTGTATTTGTAATTATACTAAAATTTGTTATTTTTCATTTATTTATAATGGATCAACTCAGTTCCTGATATCAGACTATTATAGCCCATAATTTTTTTAAAAATTGCCAAATTTTTAATACTCTTTTATACTTATATTATGTATAAACTCTGAGCTAGCCATTTCTCACATTTTTGAATTACGACCATAATTGTTAAAATCAAAATGTTTGAAAAATACTTCATACTAGATATAGACTACATGTATAGCTCATGCCAGCAGTACATTAAAATTATACTTGGCAGCAGTTATCTAATAGTAAAGTACCAGTAAATGCAAGTACAAGTTTGCAATTGTTGTTTACCTGTTGGAGAAACCATCAAACTGTATTTTGATAAAGAGAGAGAGTCAAAAGCGAGCGGTCAAAAGGAATTAAGGAGGAGAAAAGCATAAAAAGACTGAGCTGTTTGCGGTTTAGATGCCTTCTCTTCTGAAGCTCTGATGTTACTGCCTGACTTGCTGTCTATTACAGCTTTGAATGAGTAAGCTAAGGAATGGTGGCCATTATTATAGCTGGTTTACTGGAGGCAGCTTGACACTTGCTATCCATTGAAAACATGACATCTTCTACTCATTGTACTCAAAATATTTTTCACTAAATTGTAAAAAGTTACGTTATCCCTGATTGAAGTGAGTAAAATGTGTACTGGAACTGTTATTGAATTATAATTATTCATGGATCAATGACACTAAGCTATGAGAAGTGTTTGTAGACTATAATGTAATTAGCCATATTTCATCACGTGGGACTATAGCTCTAGTGTGATCACGATCACATGATCACAAATGCGGTTGATTATTTTTTGTTTATGAACCCGGCCATTACCGTCTCATGGCTAAAGTCCAAATAGCACCAGACCGTACAGTCTATACAGACAGTCAGTTGCAAAGTACATCTATTAATCTGTTTTAGTCCTACATTAACTGTGAAATTATTTTTAGTTTATGACCTTGCTGAGGTACTTGATTTGCTCAAGAGACATAGTTATTCCGGAGTTAGTTTTTATAATCTTGGCCTTCGTCTTGGTCTGTCTCCTGTTACACTGAATGTTATTACAATCAATAATAAAGAAAATATTGATGGTTGCCTGCAGGAGTGTCTTAAAGCTTGGTTGAGAGTTGATGATATAGTGAAGAAAGATGGTCGTACAATCTCTTCATTGGTAATAGCTTTGAGAAATATAGGAGAGAATACAGTAGCTGATGGAATAGATGCAGAGAGTGAGTTTTATTAATAGAAATGAGCAAACTCATTTTCAGAGGTGTAGCCGCATAGATATGATTATGATAGGGGGCCTGGAAATATTTGTGATGGCTGGTTTAATTATAATAGAGGATATGCGTGCTAAGTATATTCATAGCTTTTAAGTACCGTATATCCAACCCACACAGTAAATTGGTTGCCATGTTGGACATCAAGTTCATTAAGATTTCAATGGGGAAAACACATTTTCTTGCCTTGCTACCTTCTTGAGGCCTTTTTTGGAAGCTTAGAAAGCATCCTGAGGATCTAATGGGGTCTAGTAGTCACCTGAAAGATTGCTATCAAGAAATACAAAGCGGTTTCCTGGTACCAAGCATTTTTCTATCATTTCTCCATTGCTGCCAATGGAAAGTTGACATCCAACGAACTAATTTTTTTCTTGAAAGTTATTACGGTATGCAATGAATACATTTATTTTGCAATGAATATACTTAGCATGCATATCCTCTATTATTAGGCAGTATCATGCAGGGTTTTGCTAGACCATTTTCTGGTGTTGCAAGCAGAGATGCATCATGCACCACCAAAACACTTTATTGAAATTTTTGTGTGTACCACCCATTATATATTTAATGTATGCCACTCACTGACTTAACAATTATTATTATTATTGCTAATTTTAATAAAAATCATTTGCCACGAGTTGCACCACCTCTAAAAAAATCCTATGGATATAGTATGTATTCATTAATTTAATTGGGACCACTCCTCAGTTGTACTACTGCTCATTTGATTTATTTATTTCTAGAACATCCTGCTTGTAAAATTCTTGCTCAACATATCTCAAACCAGTCTCTTATAGATGCATTACCTCAGTTGGTTATATTTTTGTGTGTAACAAATCTTATAAAAGAGATGATTCTCCCAGCCAAAGAACAAGGGAAAGCACTACTTATTCAAATACAAGAAGCTGTTTGTATTGATCATCAAAAGCTTCAAGTATTTGCTGAAATTTTATGTAAAATCACAACCACTGTGAAAATTGGAAATACTATTATGAAACAATACAGTAAGTTGATCTATTATAACATTGACCTGTTGTTATTGTTTTATAGGGGAAGCTTATTTCATTGGTGACAATAAGAATGGTAAGAATTAATTTATCTGTAAACTTAAGGGTTGAAGATTTTTCTTCCTAAGAGCATGACTTCAGCATTTAAATTGATGCGATTGAAATTGGGGCAAACATTCTTCAATGTGGGATCAATCATGATGAGCAACCCTCACTCTCCATCCCTTGATAATATCAAGCATGTATTGAGTGCATATGATGAAACAATAAGGACACAAGTAGCTCAGTGTCAAAATATCCGTGATGTTTTAGAATTAATTTTTGAGAGTTGTCCACTTGATGACATGAGCATGCTGGTTTATTTTGTTGATACATTTAATATAGATGAGGCTAAGCCAGTTATTGAGGAATATAAGAATGCAATTGAAGAGTTTCGGAAAAGACAACTCAGCCAGTTTTTGAAAGAACAGTTTTTGAATGCTTCACCACTCGAGTGTGAAACGATTACCATTGTTGTTGTTGAAGATGCTACTGAATCCATAATTCTTGATGTTGCAAAACTGTCATCAGCTATATTTGAAGATTTCGCATTGCAACATCTCAGATTTAATGTCATTAGAGATGGCATCGATACCACCAATACTGTTGATAAGACTTCACAAACTAGAGATAAAAATGATGCCATACTTACTGCTAAACTATCAGGTAATTCATTTTTTAACAACATGCATTGTTTTATTGAGTATATATATATGAACGAAAGAATCAGTGAATCAATCTTTCCAGGAGGAAGGTGAGAGCAATAAAAAACAATGGGATCAAGAAAAAGAATATTATGAAACAGAGAAGCAATTTTATAAGCAGGTTATAAAGAAATGTGAAGAAGAAATAGCGGCACTTACTCAACAACATGAAGAAGTCACCAGTCTCTTAGAGCAGACTCAGATCAAAGCAGATGAATTACAATTAGGTTATATGGTGTGATTAACAGTCATTGATTGATATTTTAACTATTTTTGTATTATAGAATATGTATTTACTCAAGATTACATTAATAAACTTGAGAAAGAGGTGCTAGAATTTTCTAGTTTGATGAAACAGAAAGCTGTATTAGAGAAAGCAGAATTACAAACAAAGATTGATTCTCTTCAACAAAAATTAGAGCTATACCTAGTCCAAGATAACAAGGATGTATCAGTTCAGTGTGATTACTCTGTCCCTCAGTCAGGTATGTGTGTATATGCATTACATGTACATGTATATAGTCATGTTTTAATATTGGAGTTGTATACCTTTTTTAGAATTACAGAGTGAACCACAAATAAAAACGCTTGAAAGTGAAAATGAAACATTTCAAAGTACATGCTTATTAATTTTATTAATAATTAATCATTTTATAATTTAATTATTATAGAACAAAGGAATGCATTGTTACATGAGAATGAAAAGTTAAAGTCTTTACTTAAAGTGAAAAATGGTAATTGTTTTCAATTACTGCAGCATCTATTTGTAATTGATAGCATTACTGCAGCTAAAAGATACGTCTGAGATATTGCAAGAAAAGGAGAATGTACATGCATGTACTTTTATCAAGAAAGGTTAGTTCAGCAACTCCATATCAACTGCATGTCTGTTTTGATAAACTGTTGTTATTGTGTTATAGAATAGAGCTGGGCAATAGTTTCGAATATATTCACTATCGCGATAGTATAGAAGCTATTGTGATGTGATAGTAGTGTTTAAGCTATCGTGATAGTGGATCTAGCAGCCAGTCTAGGCATGCTCTGTGCTATAACCACATTTTTAGCCATTAAGTGTTATAGTCATGGCAATGGTAGCAATTTAAGAGTGATATTTGGTAGAGCTTTATACAAGGGTTCAGTGAAGCAGGCCATGTTGTAAATAAACAATGATTATGCTTACTAATTAAACAACACATCAAGCAAGAATACGTACATAACAATATGCTACATTTATTGCATTGTTGTGTTGTATCATTTTAATTTTAAATTAATAAACTAAACACATAAAAGCTATTATATCGTGATAGTTTCACTATCGGGATAGTAATTGAGGCAAATATTGTGATAGTGATTTTATCACTATCGCCCAGCTCTATTATAGAACAATACTGATAATTTACTAATTTTAGGGTGTAGGTGTTTTACACTATGTATGCTTCATTGCTCATACTGATAAGCTGTACATGTGTGTAATAGCCCATGGAGCAATTTTAAAAATTCTTCAACCATCAAATTTTAATATGAGCCAGCTTAAAATTTCTACGCAACATTAGTACATGTATATGCATCAGAAAAAATTATAAAAGCTGGGTAATCTCTTTTTTCATTTTTGACAAAATACATGTATGGTCAAAAACTTTATACTATAGTACCGGATCTTTGGCCCAATGTTTGTGCAAATTTACAATTTGTGACAAATCCAATTTTAATCAGAACCAGTAAACTTTTTACACAACACAAGTACGTGTATATGTATCATTATATATAAATTGAAAATTATCTTTTACATTTTGGCGAAAAATTCTGTACTAATTTTGACAAAATTATTTGCTCGGTTTTTTGAACAACTTTGAAATTTTTTAAAATCCAATTTAATGAGTTTAAAATTTTTACACAACCTAAGTACATGTAAATGCATCAGAAAATTTTATGCAATTGGACAATTCCCTCCTAATGTTCGTAAAATTTCCTGTTACATCGTATGTGATGCTTCATGATGTTGTTGTTATTTAGTATTACTATTACATGTATAGATAAAATATCTAAATTATCAGTGATACTGGAGCCAGTTGAAGATGACTGGTATTATATTGGACAGTGTCTTGAAGTGAAGGAATCAGTGTTAACTGAAATCAAAGAGATGACACCAGTTGATTCAAGATTAACTTATGTATTGGAGAGCTGGTGTCATGAGGAAAAGAGGACAATAGAAGAACTGGAGGAACCATTGAGAGAAATGGGTAGAGATGATATATTGCAAGGTAACCTGCTACATACAGTATGTATACTAGTTGATTTTATTTGAGTGTATTCACTCTTCTGCAGCTTTGCGTGAATTCGCTAATGCGGAATTGACAGTGAATAATTCTGAAACTCATACTGATGGTATGCTTTTTGTGAAGCTGTGGATTAATTATTGTTTATCATTTTATAGCAAAAGGTTCAAATGAAATTGAGACTCGAACTGAAACTGAAGACAAAGAAATACAAGCAACACAATCAAGTATGCTTATTATTATTATCATCATCATCATTGTTGTTATGATAAAGCTCTTGACAAGGAAATGCAGTTTAATTATCTCGTACCATCACAAGGTTGGTATAATAGTTTTGTGGGTTAATTTTTGCAAATTTTGCATTTCAGGAAAATTGTAAAAAAATTAATAAATATGGCTATACGCAGGGCAACATTGTTGCTTGAAACTTTGTGGTTACTTTGATCTTGTTGCCTCAAGTTGACCACTGCTCAACTTGAGGCAGCAAAGATCAAAGTAACCACAAAGTTTCAAGCAACAATGTTGCTCCGTGTATGATAGCCTTTTATAATGTGCATGTATATCACTTTTCTACAGATAATTTGGAAGGTCTGAGTGAGTCCCAAATAGCAGGGAAGAAGTTGTTCTTAGTTCAAGGAGGCAAACCTCAACTGATGAACTGGGAGGAGTATGGACTGAGGATTAGTGTACCAGAAGATAGTCTATCAGCATCAGAGACTGTAGAAGTATCAGTACTAGCTCTTGTAGGAGGACACTTCAAGTACATATGTACAATTACTGTATACCATATATAGCGCAAAACTTTTGAGGGCTGTAAATTTTGCAGGTTATGTGATTCTTTGAAAACTTACAAAAATAATTTCTCAAAAAATCAAAAGTAATCATTATGGTACAAAATGGCAAAAGGCATAAGTTCACAAAGATTAAATCTGCTTAATAAATTTTTAGGCAAATTCATGATTTTACTTTAAAATTTTGCACTATATGAAAGTGGATTTTTTTGTTATGAAAAACAATCGTTAATTTTGTCTTTATGTGCCAAGTGACAAAAATTTTAAAGTATTATAATTGCTGTCTAACAATTAGAAGCATTAAAATAATGATTGAATATTTTGGATGAAATAACAAAAAATTTACCCAATGAAAATTTTCTGCTGTATAATCATACATGTATGTGTATTTTAATTATTAATTCCATTATAGGTTTCCTGATAATACTAGACTAGTCAGTGCAGTGTATGCAATATCAACCAGTCCACTCCTCAAGTCACTGAGGATAGAAATGCAACACTGTATTGATCTCAGTGATCCTTCTTTATGCAAGTATCTTAAATTTGCTGTTGCTCCAGTTCACACAGCTAGTCTTCCTTACCAGTTTTCTATAATTGAAGGAGGGGAGTTTCCACCATACAAGAGATATGGATATATTGAACGAAGCAAGTTTTGCCAGCTCGCTATTGTTGGAAATGAAGGAGAGAATAATGAGGAGGGTAATGAACAGGAAGATGGAGACTCTGATGAATCAGGGGATGAGGGAGGGAAAGAGAAGAAACAAGCTACAAGAAGAGAAGGAGAAGGAGCAGGAAAACAAGAAGAAGAACCAGGTGGAGTAGGAAGGAGTGAAAGACAGGAGGAAGGGAATAGTTTAAAAGAGCCATTGGCTTGTACTGAAGAATCAGAATTAAGCTCACAGTCTAAAACAAGTGAGTGCATGAATATTGAAATTAATAACAAATTTATTTCATACTTTCGTGTACAGTTGTATTTACTTGTTCGACATCATCTACTCCTGGTTCCACTGGTGTACCTGAAGCTACTGTATATGCTGGACAAGTGTTTTTCGAACAAGAAGAGAGCAGAGATTTGATGACATTTACAGCTGCTAGAGATTTGAATTCCTTGCGTCAGGTAGCTTTAATTTTTCTTCATCAATTTTCATTTTAAAATACTAAATTGTTTTTAGTTTATTAAAAAGGAGTATTCTCATCCAGAAATCGATCAAAGCATTACCTTTAAACTCAAATCACCAAAAAGACATATTAAATTAAAATTTGATGAGCAGCAGGCTAGACCTACAACTGGATGGCAAATTATACCACATTTGGTACCTTGTCAAGTAAATTATTTGGACATTAATTTTACTTTATACCTGGAAACTATTGAGAATCCACCAAAAATTATTTTGTGGACTTAATTTTTGCAAATCAAAAGCATTTTGTTATTTTGTACTGTATTACTTTAGATTTTTCACAGATTTTATTTTTGTGATTCTCAACAAAATTGTGAAACCAGAGTGGCCTTGAAAGTTTCCAGCTATACAGTGTTTTAATTTTTAGATGCTTTTATAATAATAGATCAGAGAACAAGAAATTCTTGGTTTCGGTGACATTAGTACTACAATCCCTCCATCATGCTTAGTATCAATATATGCTGAAAACAGTCCTGATACTGTACCTATACTGCGTTATTCTGTACCATTGGAAGGTGTACAGGAACCAATGGAAATCAATATTAACAGATCGTTAAGAATTAAATCATCAAGTATGACGAAAATAGAAATTTAATTAATTTAATACTTCTTAATAGGTCCCAGTCTTCCTGTATCAGCAGTTCCAGTAGTTGTTACTGATGATACTAATCTTGGATGGTGTGCACAAAATGCACTCAAGAAGCAGCATGACAAACTTAAAAGTCTTCTTTCAAGATCTGAGCCTATTTTTCGTGACATAGCTGGAGCTTGTAAAGCAGCTACAATAATTCATTTTACGGAATACGACAAGATATTTGATGACAAGACTGGCCAGTCATTATTAGAAAGAGCAGATCATTTTATTAACTGTATAATTTCAGTAGTTGATGTGTGTCCTGATCAGCTTGAGGTGTTTCTAAATATTGTAATGAACAAGGGAAACATTGCTTTTGTTAGGGTAGCTGAACTAATCACTCAGTGTTGTAAGTTACTTGAAATTATAATTGGTTTATTAAAAATTATTTTGTATAGTTAATAGCGAAGTTCCTGAGCATGCTTGCATAAAATTGGCCAAGCAATGAAGCTCCTAATTTTTGGAATTCTATTTTGATTTCTGTCCTTGTGTGCTCTCATTTTGTTTGTGACAGTTTTTGGCTAGTCTCACGTAGCTATGCGAGACTAGCTTTAGACTACATTTTATTCAGTATTATAATAATTGATTTTTTGTTTTAATTTTTTGTAACTTTGCATTATTTGACATACAATAAAGTCGCTGCATGCAGCCTTAGCACACTGTGTCAAGTAGATTATCAAGCCTCAAAACTAATCTTTGTTCCTTTTGGAAAGTGAAAGTGCATGGTTACATGACATGCTGTGTGAAACAGTCTGGATCAATGGATTCAATCAGTTGGGTGTGGTTGGAATGCTCAGGCCGTTGCTGAGAAGGAGAGAAAGTCTATGGCTAGAAGATGGCAACCATTAGTGTTACTATAGGTAAAATGATTTAACGTTGTGTGCTTCATTTATTCCATCTATTTTTTACATTACTTTCACAACAAATTGGTGTAACCATTTACTATTATTATTATAGTACATCACTTTACATACTAGGCCATTAGCATCCTAAATTTTAGATTATATAAAATGTATGGGTTTAAATCAAGAAATCAGTCAGACATCTTTCTGAATAGGCAACCAATCACAGCACATAATATTTAGTACATAAAAATACTATTGTGTGCAATTAAGTCTTGTTGTTTTGTAAAAGTTGTAAATCTGTATTATTATACTGATGGCAAAACCACATAAATGCACACAAAACCTATCCAAATATAATGACTGACATCAAAAATACAAATCAAGAATAAAAACGATTATTATTACTAATACTGTTACTAGCATCAGTTAAAACTTCTTATCACGTCCATGAGGTATGGAATAATTAATCTCTGGTCCAATAGACACAATTCCATGAGGATTAATATGTAAATGACTCTCCTATATATATTTATATGCATAAGAATTAATAAGACATTGCTATTACATAATGTACATGGCACACGTAATAGTACATTATAGCCAGAAAATTTTGAGGACAAACGTACAGTTTTTCATCATTGCAAACCTGAAATCTAACATGTCTATATATACTTACAACAAAGGATAAAATGAATTTTTGCCCCACTTTAACAGTGTAGTCCCTGAAATTTCTAGCTAGACAGCAGTTCCACGTATATACATGTACATGTACCTGATAGTGATGGTTTATATGGTAGTGATTGGTTGTACTACCAAATCCAGGAGTGTTATACAAGTCCCTCAAGTAGCCCCAAATATTTGGATAATCAACAATCCTCTTCTTATTACACTAGAAGAAAATAAATACAACTGAACTTAAAATTATGTTTATTAAAATGCCTGCATAGTATCATATAGGGCATAATGTTCGCGGGACGTAAATTTTGCAGATAACGTAAATTTGAGAAAATAATATCGGCGAATATCAATTTAATACGGTATCTGCAAGACACACATGGTAAGATTTGTGAAATTAAAATCCGCAAATTGGAATTTTAGTAGATTTTGCAAAATTTGCCTCCCGCGAACATTATGCCCTATACAGTATATTAAATTAGGTTGCTATGAAATTTGAAGAATGTGAGCATTGAGTAATGCATAATATCCCCTTACTTTGAAGTGTCCCACATAAACAGGATCAAACCTCACTAATGTGGTATAGAGTCTAACATCAGCTTCAGTTATACTAGCTCCAGTTAAGTAACGTTGTGTTGATAGGATACCCTCAATACGATCCAGTGACTCAAATACTTCCTTCACTGCTTTATCATAGGCATCTTGAGCTGTAGCAAACCCTGCCCTGTAGACTGCTGAGCTAAGTCCGCTGTAGAGAAATGGTATATGTAGTAATGATGTATACATACAGTTAATATGTAGTTAAAGGACTTCATGGTGAATAATAAATTATTGTATTATTTGTATAGCCAGTAGTTTTAGAGAAGGGAAAATTTTGGCAAATTTGGTGTTTTGATTGCCATTCGCCAAAATGGAAACCACCATTTTCAACTAATTTTGTGCATGGTACATGTAAATGGCTAACAGCCTCAAAATTAACTAAATTAAAACCTAAGAATCATCAGTGGCTCCAAAATTTAACAAGAAAGACTTGCAGAGAATTCTCCATTTTTATACTTTTTCCTGATACAATGTACATAACATGTACACATGTACTTATGCTGTGCCGAAAGCTTGAGTGGATCACTGTATTTCAATAAATAATGGATTTTCACCAATTTTTATAGCCACTCCGAAATCGGGTGAAAAATTCTACACTTTCTTCAGCCAAATTTCAAGGAAATTACTCAGACAGTAATTTCCATTTTTATACTATTTCCTGATACACATACATGTACATTTACTTATGTTGAATACAGAGTTTGATCTGATTCCAAACAAAATTAGATTTTTATGAATTTTAAAAGCTGCTCAAAAAGCTAGGTACTTGTCACTTTTGTCAGCTCATGAAGTATGGCATGGTTTTAGCTCACTTACAAATGTACACGTAGCATGCTTTGTGGGAAACTCAAATTGAGAGTGCTACCTGTATTATAGAGCCACTATAATATGAAAATCATGTATAACAGGTAAAGGCCTGGGGTTAAATTTTGGATTTTATTACTGTAGAATAACAAGCTCTGCCCCTTACCACACCCAGATTACATGGTGTACATGTACACAAGGCCTTCGCCCAAATAAAATTTTTATCAATGGTTTCACTAGTAAACAACATGCAAGAGTGTGTACATAGAAGTGACTTTAGCAAATGGATTTACAGGGTGAGTCCATGTAATAGGTACAGTGCATGGACAACAGTACACAATGTCTCAGATATGTTCTTACTATGCAATCCATTCATTGAGTTCATTGATGGTGTCTCTGAGATCAGTAGGATAGAGATCAAGAGCTTTAGCTTCAGGAGTAGCACAGAACTCATTAAACTCTGTATTTAGCATACGAATTATCTCAGCAGATTCATTATTAACAATAGTACCAGTCACCTTATCATAAAGAACTGGGACTGTGAACCGACCACTGTAATTAGGATCAACTTTGAAGTAAACCTCTCTTAAGAACGAGAATCCGTGAACAGAGTCAGATGTGGGTCCCTCCACGTTTGGATTAGGCCCAAACTTCCATCCTTCGTCACCTTTGACAATGTCCATCACATCAATTGAGATTACATGCTCAAGTCCTTTGATTCGGCGGGTCAGAAGTGTCCTGTGAGCGTAAGGGCAGGCGAATGAGACATAAAGGTGATATCTACCAGCCTCCGCTTTGAATCCTGAGCTACCATCAGCTGTAATCCAGTTCCTAAAGGCACCTACGTGTACCGTTGCTGCTGCCATCAAAGCCATTTTGTGTACATGGGCGTGGCTAATTTCTTCTTGCAAGGTCAGTAGATCTAGGTGATGACTGGAGAGTGGAGACTCGATTTGGAGATGAATACCAGAGAAAGTGTTCTAAGTGAAATGGTCAGCACTGTCAGAGGGTAGGCGAATAGAGATTGTCATTAAAATAGGTGCTGTAGTGATGAAAATGTCTCTATTGGGCTAGTAATAATTGATTATTCCGAACCGCATGCATGGACCTAATAAGATGTCAGTTTTAAATGATGCCAATAACGATAAACTAGTAGTATTAATTATGGTAATAATATTTACTAATAGTTTTGTAAATGATAATAATTAGTTCTAATTAAAAGTTATGTATATGCACTATAATATTGTCAAGAGTTTGATACGGTTACCCGCTAAAGGTATATATAAGTACACTAACTGATAACTTAATATCATGTACTGTTGACATAATATATATATATGAAAAAAATTTTAATTTCTGTACTGAAATCCTACCTTTTAAAGATTTTTATTAATACCTTGCAAATTACACTGGGGCATTGTCATGGTCACAACGGCCCGGTGTGATTTTGGAATTTCAGTTTTTGTAGCAGAATATTTATACCAGTATCAAAATGGAATGATACACTATTTCCTTGTATATTGGATTTTTGAAAGCACCAGTGACAAAACAGCCCATGTCAAACCCATTTTAGTTCATTTTGGAGTAGCACAATCTCAAATGTGCATGGCTGCAAAATTGTCTGTTTTGTTTGCTTAACCGTTAACAAAATAATCATAATAATTCTTACTAATATTTTAAGCTGTATATATAGGTATGGTATGGTAAACATTCTATAGAATGCCAATGTAAGATATTTATTATTAATAAGAACAATAAGAGTAATTTTAGACATAGGATAGGCGATAAAGAAAGGAAGAAACAAAGCACATACAATTGAGATAGAGTCCTTTAATACGACCAAGTGTTCAATAATTTTTGACAGCAAATGCTCTATACACTAATTAATAACAGGCTAAAAATACTGTATATAAAATAAATTAAAACTGTAAAAGAGAGTCACTTTTTAGTGTATTTCAGTTCACATGAAGAGTGGTTAGTCCACCCAGCATACTCTGCCTTGTATGAGGTGATAGTTAGGATAAGTGTTAATGCAAGCCTCTTTGTGTCGCTCGTCTAGCCAGAGTTTTGTGATACTTCTATTATTGGAAAGTGGCTGAAAAATGAGTAATATTGACTCAGTAGACAATGATGTCCTTCGTAGATCCAATTGATCTAGTGATGAGTTATTGAGGAGGAGGTGAGAAAGAGCCCGTCCACTAGTAGAAGTGATGAGCGGATTGTGATAAAGAACTAATGAGGTAAGTGTAGATTTGTGTTTAAGTGCTTGACAGATATTAGTTACTCCTCTATCACTAATGGAGTGGGACCTAATGACTAGTTCTTGCATTGTTTTATTATTAGTTAGGAGAATACACAAGTACTGGATACAATCATTAGTTAATGGAGTGTAGTGTATCTCAAGTTTCCTCAGGTTTAGTGTTTGCAGTTTAGTTGATGATAATAGTGACACTGTACTATTAGTAGATAAGGAGTAGAGGTCAATCCTCTTATAATTGATATTAAGATTACTAATCACTTCCCTACACTGAACTGGAGATGAATAGTGAAGGTATACCCTGTCATTGTGCCAGTCCACTCTCCGTCTTGAAAGGACTTCTGTAAAATTATAAACCAAAGGATTATACTTAATGTTGCATGTATGTAGATACTACTCATATTCACATCATGTTTACACACACAACTTATACAACAAGACTACTGCTAAGCAATTAAGTAACAAACAAAATTATTTACAATGGTAACAAGATTTTATTACATTGACCATCAATCATTATGCATTGACACACAAACACACATAGCATGGAATAATTCAAACGCACAAAATTACCTTCTAATTCATGTTGTTCCTTGTCTTCTCTTAGTGCAGATATCATGATAGGATCATCATTAATAGTCTCCAGGAAAAGAGAGGCTTTCTCATCATTACTAGATGAATCATTTCTTATCTTCTGTAGAATAGGAAGGGACACTTCTTCCACTGACAGTAAAAACTCTAACAATTGAAGTGACTCCAACATTGAGTAAACAAAACTACTAGGAATGTCTCCCTCATCACCAGACACCAAGGATCTTCCTTTCCACTTAAATCTATCAGGCTTTTCAAATATCTTCAGCTGCTCTCCCTCACTGAATGAAAGATGACCACTCCATATTCCATGATAGTCAATACGTGCTGTATAAATAGATTCTGCTGTTGGTGTATTCAGTGATTGTGTACACTGATCCTTCTCTATACAATATATCAATCAGGTAGTGCAGGTAGTGATTTAATTACTAATGTAACACATACTGTCAATATTTGCCTTTTGAATCATCAGCAGTTGTATACTAGTCATTGATATATTTTCTTGTAGCAACTCAATCTCTTTCTTATACTCCACTAACGCCTCTTTTCTTCCTGTGATGAGGTAGTATAGACAGATTATACCAATAGAGTCAGTACCTGCTTTCATTAGGAGAGAGCTTCGGAAATTCTGAGTCTCCAATTTTTTTGATGTGAATATTTTATTTATCAACTTCCCTCTAGTCAGTAGCTTCACTTTCAGTTTAGACTCTACAGTAATGAAACAATGAAAATTTTAATTTATAAGATAATTGTACTGATTGTTCAAAATGATCACCAACTGCACGTTACTTTAATACATGCTTTAAGTTAGTACTATACCTGGTAATGTCCTTTCAGTATACTCTAAAAAGTAAAAATTCATTAACAGAATATCTTCATTGATACCATACAAGATATTATTTATTGATGAGAGTAATATTTGGCAAATTTGCATCTAGAAAATTAAATGGCAAATTTTATATTGATGATTTTGTACGACATGCCCTTGAGCATGCTCAGAATGGCAGATTTTATATTGGCGATTTCTTTTTAGAACTACCAATTGCCAATATTTATTCTTCACCAATAAATCATCTTGTACTGTACTGTACCATGTCGTTTTCTGAAGGTATTCACTTGTTTATCTTGTTCAGATATTGATACTATACATTAGCATACGTAACATCAGTATTGAGTAATAGATCAATTCACACACCTTCTTTGTAATCAAGTGAAGTCCTCAGTTCTTGTTCCTCTCCATCAGCTAGTTTAATCTCCTCTGCAAGACACTCGTTATTCATTACCTATAATCAGTACATAATATTTGACAAGGTCTCATACAGTTACAGTATAATATACTTTGTATCTGTTCCTTTTATTATAGACAGTGTAGTGGCCAATGGTTAATCTAATTAAACTGAATTCCTTGATCAAGACAGTTAGGTTGTCTTGTGCTTCCAAGAGAAGAGCAGCTAGTAAATGATGTGGGGCATAACAGATGATAATGATGGAGTTCCCACGATGAATGGTTTGTATGGTAATCCTTCTGTTTAATTCTTTAAATGCTTCCTCTAAGAGATTACGTATGTCATTAAGTGAATGCTCCTCTGGTTCCCATCCCAGAGTAAGCTGAATTGTTTCAGAATTGTTGAAGCATTCAGGTTGATTCTGACTAAGGAAATCCTTCAATGATCTACAAACTGTCTTCACTTCTTTTTCATATTCTGATATCAAACGCTTTGCTCGACTGATTTTGAAACGTTTCACAATTGTTTTTATCACTGAGATATTGTTCACTCGGCATTTTTTGATTGCAATATTGATAATTGCTTCAAAACTATCAGCATCAGACAGCTCAGCACTCAATTCTGGGTAAAACCGTTGAAGAAGTGACTTCATTTCATCAATGGATGCTTTTGATTGAGATATCAATGGAACTAGCTCATCAATAAGAATAATAAAACTTCCTCTGATTTCATCGAACATAGACTGATGTGCTGCATTAAAAAAGAGCTCTCCAGCTAATAATAAATATTATTAGCAATCAAATTTAGACTAAGAATACCTGAAGCTGATACTTTTGTGTTAGCAGTCGGTAATTGATTGACTGTACCACTGGTAACTGGTCTAACTACAGTAGTCACTGCATTTTTACCTGCATATGTGTGCAATTCATTAGATATAAATTTATTTTAAAAAGTATATACCGTAAAAGATGAAATGTTGACGGGGATTTTATATTGGTGGATTGACGGATTTATATTAAAACACAAAATTAAAATTAGCAAGCAGTAATTTCATTTTTATACATGTGACCACGCCCACATTAATTTTAGTCAAACGCTACCTAACATGGCTTTACTATGTTTCCTTAAGCCAGTCTCTAAACCAGGTGATAAAAAACACAATTGTCCAGAAAAGGTACAATCTTTCTCTAATAATATGGTGTCCACATATACAATTCACAACATTGAAAGTTTCCATGCATTAATTAGCAAGTGTAGCCCTCACTTACATGTAAGTAAATTTATTTCCGCCTTAGGGTGGGGATATAATTTACTGTTAAGAAATCGCCAATATTAATTCTGCCAATAAACTAGCCATCACAAAACTGCCAAAAACTCCCGCCAACAAATCCTCTTATACAGTAGTATCAAACCAATGAAAATTCATATTCCTTAGGGTATTAATGAATTTTATGGAATTTTATCAACTTATAAAGAATTAAGCCCCACCTTTTAGAAGAGGCTGGAGACATACAACAGTCGTATGTCTATCATAGAGAGAAGCAGCTACATCTAGGCGTGTGTGCATAATGCAACATGCATATACAATAATAGGTACAAACTTTAAGTAGGACATTGAACTGAGCAACACAAGGTTAACAAGAACATAAAATATTTAAAAAAACAAGGTTAAGTAGGATTCCAAACGACCAACGAAAATACGAAATGAAAATCCTAC